CGGTGGAAGCATGAACCCGAGCATCAGAAGTGAATCTAATCTGTTTATAGCACCCAAGTTCGGAAACAAGGCGGTAAATTCAGATTTCCTCCCTCGACTCCAATCCATACTGATATTTCAATTGTTATGATCAGTATATCTTCATTTGTTTTATTATGAAAATTGTTTAAAAATTTTGACGCTGATATCAGGTTTCAGAAATCTTTAAACCAGTTGGGTTTTCCTGGTCTCACTGAATTATTTTCAGGTAACATGGAAGGACAACAAAGATGGAGGAAGGTCATGGAATTGGCAGTCTGTTAAGGATGTCTTTGTCAATGGAGCTTAYTTCAGTCAAACAGGGAATAGAGGGGCAGCACCGCGCTATAGCCATCAACAAAGGTTCCCCGTTGCAGATGCCAGATCTGTAAGTGCATTAACAGGATCATCAGGTGCCCTACGATGCTCTAGAAGATGTTGATTCTAGAATGCAGAGGGAAGGAGTTTGTCTACACTCTACACAGAATAATCAGACAACTGCTGTTCTGATGTTCCCTAATATCCTATGGTTATCTTGTTTCCCTTTGTCCCAATAAAATTGCACTACTATGAAACTCAGATGCGTAGTTACATTTTCTGAGAAACAAAAATTATTATAAGACTAAATGCTAAAAAAAAAAAAAGGACAAACACACTGTTGCTCTAGTTTATATCAATTCATTCCACAATCAAGCTTCTTCATCATCAGAACTTTCATAAGCAAGTCCTAGTAAGCTTTTAACAGTGTCCACTGGCTTGGTCTCAGCTTCCTCTCTTGTTGGCTTTGTCGGAAGAGGCTCTTTCTCTGGGACAGGCTTGGTTTTCTCACTTGTTGATGCAACAGAACTTGAGATTGGGGCCTGATGATTTCCTTTGGATGGGCTGGAACCTGAATTTGGGCTCTGTTGGTTTCCATTTGATGGGCTAGACACTCTTTGTCGTTTAGGTCTGATCTCAACGATGTTCTTTAGGAGATCTTGCTGTCTTTAATTCCAAAATAACTAATATTAGCCACAAAGCAGGAACATAGACATGCAAACAGTTCCGATATGAGAGAGAGAGAGAGAGACCTGATTCCACTTTTCGGCTTGGGCTCTACACGGAGTGGCAATGGAACCGACGCAGGTGAAGAATCTGCCAAACTTGCAGCTTTGTTTCTATTGGTTAGGGAACAAAAATAAACACAAATATGTGCAAATTTTACAACAGGTAGAYGGAGTGCATTTACTAGGGAAATTAGGATTCAAGAATTATTGCACAAGATCTCTAAAACCATAATTGAATTGAATTAATCATCCTAATGCATAATCATATTGAACAGTGAAAACAACTATAATATATTAGAGGGAGAAAAGAAGAAAAGGTGAGCAGTTAAGACCATCCTGTTTGGTTGATATATTGCCTTAATCTCCAATTTGACACTTATTTAATAGGTTAGAATTACACTATATGTTTCCGAGCATGTTGAAACAAGGAGTGAAACCTACTCCATCCTGAAGCAACCATTCTCTCTCATCCATGGAAATGACCTGGGTTTCTCGATGTGTCAAGAAGGATATTTTAAGACCATCCGGTTTCGTTGAATCATTGCCTTGATCTTTATATTGAGAATTATTAAATGAGGACTGAATTACACAGTATGTATTCAGTGCATATTAAATATGAGGTCGATTTATTGCCCTGAAGCAAGTATTTGTTTTCATCCAAAGAAAAGCTTTGGTTTTTATGATATCTCAAGAAGGATATTTTAAAGGCAGCAAATGCCCGTTTCTC